ACTTCAGATGTGAGAACCGAAGTACAAGCGGGATCGTTATTCCTGCGAAAAATAGTTTTCCGTAACCCGCCGTACATGACTCAGTTGACCACAGGAGATTACCCGGGCTCGAAGTCATGTTAGTGAAGAAAGCCTTTCCCCTCATTGATATCGCACCTTCTCCGACCGTATCTTTCACATCTTCGTTTCCCCTCAATGCAGCATGCATCAAATTGCGATTATCCGGAATATACGATCACACGTCATATCTGATCGAATCCGTCGCCCACTTTTACTGATACGGAAGACAAGACTTGTTTCACTGGGTCAACAGTCGGTTAGTTTAATTTCATTTCGAAGAGGACAGAAGATCCATCGCTCTTGGCGCCCTGGCCCTGCTGATATCTAGGCGCCAGTGTAAGGCGCCATNTCGGGTGTGAGAACCGAAGTCCTTCAGATGTGAGAACCGAAGTACTTCAGATGTAAGAACTGAAGTTTCAGATGTATGATCCGAACTTCGGCAGCTAGACCTAAAGTGTTCAGATGCTCAATCTGAAAACTTCAGAGATCCATATGACCTAAACTTCGGGTCCCACGCACGAGTTTTTTTTCTCCGTGTAAGTGGTCAAAAAATGCTGTAATTTAACTGTGAGGTCTACGTCCACTCTCCGTTAGGTGATAAGAAGTTTATGACGCGACGCGGGTCAACGAGAGAGTAAGTAAGAGAAACAGTGCTTTAACAATGTTGCCATTTCGACGGTAAAACTCCCAACCGCACGTATTTTCTTTGCAGTATTTTAAAATCTTGACTCATATTTGATTTTTTTTGCAGGAAAACATGCGTATCTACATAATTAATTGATTTTTTTCACAATTTGTTTCACACGGAAGAGAGAAAGTTATGAAATTTTCAAGAATTTGCTTTGAGTATCTAGTTTTCCATCTAAAAAATAAAGACTAAACCTAACCGAGATACTGGGTTTAGGACTTTCACTGTCGAAATCTTTCATAAAAAATACTTTTTCAAAAATTCGATGTAAAACACGAGGGAAAGGCTTTGACATATTTATTCCTGAAATTTGACAAACTGGATTTGAGAAGACTCGCAGTAATGAGAGTATTTTCGAGCGTATTGATCAAGGATTTACAGTGATGTCCGTTTGATCAGTCTCCATACTTTTCCCACTTGAACTTTTACCTGTCTGCTCAACCGAGCGCCGTATCTGACAAATAAGTCAAATTCGCACGATAACGCGTCGACAGCACATTTTGTTCATACCGACATTGTGTGCCTAGAGCTCGCCGCAGTTCAACATGTCCGACACATCAGAGCTAATTGTAAGTTTTTTCCCCACTTTACTTGCGTCGCTCCTTCCGCAACTTCCGCAACTTCTCCGTCCCGCAAACTTTTCACTTTATCTGCACTTTTTCGTACTTCTAGTTTTTATTTGCGGTCGCCTCTTAAAGTTTTCCTCATGAATAAAACTTCCTCATTGACATGGAGTGAACTTTCGTTGCTGATTTCAAACTGTTTGCTTTTTTTGTTGTGAGGGTACACTTAACCTTACAGATGTTTCTCCAAGAGGGCCCTTCCGTTAAAAAGTGCATACTGGGAGGTCAGCCGGTATCCAATTATGATCCATCGTGGAAACTTTAACCCCAAGTATAGCATTTTTCGACGGAAAAATCGCAATTGTTTTAAATTAAGTTTCTATTTTTTTCACGATAAAATTGCTAGGATCATCAACGTCTGAGCGATTATCCTCAATCTTGTCGAAATTTTATCTCTATATATGAATTCGCGTTCGATAAAATCGAAATTTTATCTCAATTTATCACAATTTGTGTTAGAAAATATTGCGAAAAGTCGCCGTCAATTAAATCGCGATTTTATGCAAATTTATGCTCTGACATCTCAATTTTTATCTGATAGTATTGTAATAAATTAACGTCGATAAATCGCTATACACTCTCAAATCAAATCGCAACTTATCACGATCACAGCCACTTGGGATTCTGTCTCTGCTTCCTCATGATAGGGTCGTCAAATCGTAAACCTTTACATTCAGTCGTCTTGACTGATTTTAACCACATTGATTGTGAACTAAAGAAAAGATAGCTGTCTTGAGCTCGAATCACTCGCATAATTGTTGCCAGATTGTATGACAACCCGTCAATATTTTACATTGAGCGCAATGGGAAAACGTGCTGAATTTTCAGCACAATCTCACAACAATGACTCACATTTTGTCACGATTTAACCTCCCCTCTTTGATCAAAATTTTTTGGCGCTCTCAAGCAAAAGATGAATTTTGAACGATAGGGTTATGTTTTTTACTTGGATTTCTAAATGTTATCCAGGCTTTTCAATATGAAATTCACGAAATCGGTACTCGAAATTTTGCTTTGACGAGCGGATAATATGTGGGGTCAGTCAACGGGGTCAGTGGACCCCCCCTCCCCCCCCCTATGGACCCCCAGTAGTTTCAGGTTAAAAAACAAGATGACAACTTAATCAATCATAAAATTAAAAAAATTTCCCTTTCATTCAGCCGATCCCCGAGAACAGCTGACGTGATTGTCAGGTTGTTTGGTGAACTTTGGTGGTGTTGGCGCCGATTTGTGTAGGACCTGCTCTTAACCTCAAAAACCGGTCATTGTTTGTTCATTTTGTTTAGAATCACTCCGATAAAAAAAAAAAAAAAAAAAAAAAAAAAAAAAAAAAAAAAAAAAAAAAAAAAAAAAAAAAGTACCTAAAGCAAAGTTCATATTTCAGTCGAGTCGCAGCAAGTGCCTACTGCGATAAATAGGTACGGAAGTGTATTTGTCTAAAAAAAAAAAAGTGCATATAGGTACCGCAAGGGTCCATAGGGGTGAGTTTCAAGTTTATTTTGAAATTGTTGCATTAAAAAAACTTAATTGACCAAATTGAAATCTGACAAATTGGGATGTTACTTACATGCATTCTTAAAGATAAAATTGGCTTTTCAACGCCATCTGCAATTGAACCACCCATTAATTGGTTTTTTTCTCTAAAAAAATGTTTAAAGGGTCCATATAGAGGGTCCCTGCTTTATGCAGAATCTGACTCTACTAGAGGGTTATCGTGGAATTATCTCACGATTTCGTTATGCAGCAACATCTCATCAATAATATTGCAATTTGCCATAAGGACCAACTATTTATGGTTTATCTATAAAATCACCTATCTGCATGGGGATACTAATGAAAAACATACGCCGTTTCTAAAATGAACCAGAAAAAGCAGTTTCTCATTGGAAAATGTTGTCCAGTTTTAAACCACAGAATTCAAGGTATGAGTGATGAAAGGCCAATCGCGCGCATATCGTTCCTCTCTTTTTTGTGCTTTCCCGCTAGAGAGCCAAATAGATTACTTCTTCGGTCTGAGGTTACAAATACACGTATGTGTGTAATTCACATCAGCTTTGAAACAACGTAAAAAGTTCGGTTTGTGCAATAAAACAACAACAAAAAAATTAAACCGGGATCTGAAGCTGCAGCAAGGAAAAATCTTCTGAGAATATGCAGCTACTTATCGAGCGACTACGGACTCATCGACAGCAATTTGTCTCCTCGGAAAAATTAATTATGACCGAGCAAATTTACAATTCTGTACTAAAAAGCAATCTTATCAATATTGAGGAAAAAACACGAGCCCTGGCACGACATTTCCCATGCACCAGTTTCGTGTTTAACACTCTCCGCCATTAGTTTTGCACTGAAACGTAACGGAGATATTTTTTAATTATCGACTCTCTCCTCAGCTTCGTTTTCTGCTCAGAATAATATGAGCCCCGCATCATTTTCATATCCTGCCATTATGATTAATTGGACCGCGTTAAGCAGAAAAGAACCAAGCCACATCAACTATTACAAAAATTGGGCAATTTGATTTTTTAAATGAAAACGGTCGTGCGGATTTTAGTGAATATTTCAGTGAATTTTCTGCATTGTACGAAACCAGGTCCTTAAAATGTTCAAAGGAATCCGCACAAACTTTTTCCGGTTACAAATTTAACTTTCCAGTTTTTGGCAATTGCCGATGTGGCTTGGTTTCTTTCTGCTGAACGCGGTACAATTTGAGTTGGATTACTAGGCATGTTTAAAATGGTGAAGGGAAAGTTGTTGTGACGTGATTTTTGAGGAGCTCCTCCCCCCCACTCCCTCCTAGGAGGACTTGAGATACTGGTGCAAAGCGGCAGCATAAGGAAAGAAAGAAAAAAACAAACGCCCATATGAAAATAAAATTTAAAGTATCGGTACTTGAATAGCGTCGGGTGATTCAAAGAGTCAAGATGGCCTTTTCAATCTTCGTAAGCCTTTTGAAGGCCTACTGTATGTATATATTTTGAGTTAGTCGCGTCACTAGGCCACATGAGAGGCTAAGTCGCGGGTGCCTTCAATTAGTAGATAGGCAACATACACAACACTCCGATGCAGTAGCAATAATTTTACCATGTAATTGCAATTTATTGCAATCTGCGCTACTTGGGGCGTGGCAGACAGAAAGCTCCTCCGACATGAAAAACCTCCGATATTGTTTGAAAATAGTAAAATAAAAAAAGCACAATTTTCTTCCGTCAAAAATTATGCGAGAAATGATTAGTATTGAAATTAGTTCAGTGCTCAATTTTCTTCATGTTTAGTTTTGGTTTTTTTTTCTTTCTTTCTTTTTGATCGGGAGCTGTGAATTAACTCACACAAAAAACGCCTTTGGCTAATTTGAGAGTTGGATTGGGGACGTTTATATGCACCTATCGTATTTTTCGTAAATCTTTGGTAGAGAGGCGTGTGATTAGATGCTCAATTTTGTAATCTGTCCAGTTTTCCATTCATTGTAAAGCAATTTCCAATTAAATGTTTTAAACGTTTATAGTATAGTTTACTATTACGCTGCTTGAATAGGAGATAATTTGACTGGATCGGGGGTGGCTACTGCTACACTTGTAAGGAGTCGTTGCCATGCAGTAACAGCTAACCATATTCAATTTTATTTGCAGGTACCTGAGCAGGAATATGAAGACCCGTTCTGCGTGCCGGGCAAACCAAGCGTTGTTCAGTTTGCTGACATCACATCTGCAGCTTTCAAAATCAGAGACGGAATTGTGAGAACACCATGTATGGTAAGTTCTGCCACTGTGTCTTCATCAAATAACTAGGTACAGTGGGACAATCATCTGGCAAATATACGAAAGTCAGACACGTGCGAGGCAGCGAAAAAATATACACTACTCAAATAAAATTCCGCTTCATTGCCCTGATAAGAATAATTAAATATTTCAAAATCAATAAAGCATATCAACCAAAATTCTTTTGTTATAGCAAGTGATTGCCGTAATTCTAATCGATAGTATATCATTAATCATGACATTGATCTTTAAAAAAAAAAGCTACGAACATTTTTTGCAGCGTACCGTCTCATGAAAAACCACCATGTTGCGCTGCTAAAATCTAACACACAAATCCGCAATCATTTTAATATTTTATGAATGGTACTCTTTTTGACCCTCGCATCTTGCTCCAGAATATACTTAACCACACATAACAAGGTTGTAGTATAATGTTGGGCCCCACACTACTCAGCAGGGAAAATAATGCCAAAAGTTCCAAAAATTCATTATAAGATTTAAAAAATGAGAGGAACTATTTTGTAGTTTATTCCCCACAAAATAGTGTAGCACCCAGCACAATTCTACCACCTTGTTACTTACAGTACTGTGCCACATTTTCATAGTGTTTTTTTTTTCCTTAACTGAACGTAAGTAAGTTCCTTACGACAAGCAATGACAGTGCAACGGTTAAGAGTTTTGCTGCATAAGCATAGATGCGAGGTGTCGCTGACGTTATTATCCATCAATGAAGAGCTGATCTTACATTGTAATTTTCTGCAAAAATTGACTTTCTTCTTTTCTTTCTCCCTCAGAAATCTCATCTCTCAGAATTGACTGGAATGGAAATATTTCTCAAAAAAGATTTCTTACAGTTTACCGGCAGGTATGATATTATTTATACGCATTTTGGTTCATAATTATGAATTTCTCGAAAAGTCGTGTGCTAGAAAAAAAAAAGTCGAATTGTAATTGGTTAACTATACACGAGATAAAATCTTTACAGATATCTTTGATTCTATTATTTATCTTTGAGCTTTGCGTCCACGTCAGGTAAACAAAATCCAAATGCGGAAATGCGGATCCGAGTAATGACAATTGCTCCCATATAATTGACCATAAAGGAGTGTTAAATCTCCGAAAGTAAAAGCTTCCACCTGTCGCCAAGAGGTCAATGCTGCCGTAAGGAAGAACACCTTATGAGCCTCCAGACGTTGCCAAATTTCCTTTATAAACGCGAATTTCCTGGTAAATTTATGAATATTTTCCTCCCAATTTGTCAGATGATTTAGTTTGCAATTTTATCCAAAGATTCTAAATATTTAAAGAAAAATTTCATAACTTTCCTAAAAAATAAACATTTTATCAAATGAAATTTGGCAACACTCGAATGTTCATACGGCGTTCCTCCTTAGCACAGCAGAATGGATGGTCTCTTGTCTCTGAGCAGGGCAGTATACTCTGCACCCATTTTTGGGAAAAGTCGAAGTGGTCCTTTGAATTGATCAATTTTGTTTTCAGTTTCAAAGAGCGAGGAGCAAGTTACGCTCTGATGAAACTTACGACGGAGCAGAAAAGCGCTGGAGTGATCTCAGCCTCCCTCGGGAACCATGCGCAAGCTCTCTCGTACCACGGCCAAAGACTCAAAATCCCGGTGACTGTGATCATGCCCATCGTGGCTCCCATCATGAAAATCCAGTCCTGTCGCAACCTTGGCGCCAACGTCGTCGTCCAGGGCAAGAACATGAAGGAAGCCAAGCTCATCGCCATGAAACTCGCCAAGGAAAGAAGCCTCGTCTATATTAACGGGTATGTGCAAATATCTTGCGGTGCGATGTCATCGCCCGGCTCACAAAAAGGCGTAACTACACATTGAGACGAGCCCGTAAAAGCATTATATTTTATGGACATTAGGGTTCACTGTAAAATGGAGCTACGCCTTCATGTTAGGAGGGTGACCATCTAAAATTGAGACTTTGCATGAATAAATTGTATTGCTTCATCTTAGAGTGCTCACTAGGCTGAGTTTGCCTTATTTGTCACAATTTTTTTCTGATATCGAAAAATGTGCAAATATAGATTTAAAAGTGAGGAAATCTGCTGCCTTGTGACGTTTTTAAGAGGTATTGGACTCGTGTATTTCAGCAGATTCAGTTATTTTGCCGTATCTCCGCAAAAAATTGTTCCGTCTAGAAACCAAGGATAATCTCGAGACTACATAAAGCCGAGTTTCATTATCCAGTGGTTTTCTGACAAGAAAATAACTACGTGGTGGAGATTCTGGTACAGTGTAACGGTAGAGTGCTCTATTTGCACCCACCAAAGTAGCACAGGTTGCATTAAATTGCAAGCATATGCTAAAATTATTGCTGTTGTATCGGAGTGTTATGTAGGTAGTCTATTCACTGATTGAAGGGGCTTCTCCAATAGGAATGCATTGAACTAATAAGTTGCAAATTGCCTACTCATCTCTTGCAAGGAAATTATTCTATTGATCGTTTAAAATCAGCATTTATTGACCAAGTTATGTAAAAATGTTGCGATTCGTCACACTCTGTGCTACTTGGGCAAGGCTTCAATTTAGGCAATGCGAGATGGAATGGGTCACTAATCTATGAACGAATTTTGACTCGCAAATACACTTTTCTAAAGGTACATGACGCGTAGAACGCGATGCGCACATTGGAAGGCAAAAAAGTATCTCAATAACCTAGAAATACGCAGTTCAAAACGCTCAACTTTTCGGCAAATTTAAAACGCCCCAATTTTGCGCCGAACCAAATGATGTCATCTGGCACTAATCAGAAGCGAGCAAGGGTTTCAACGACCTCCGACAAATGTCTATCTACTCCTCGTATGTGAAAACAATACTAAAGTCGAAATTATATCTTTAGAATTGAAGAATCGAATCTCATTTATGTTATCTGTAAATTACAAGCGACAATTCCACTTTGAAATACGTTTTATTTTAACGAACATCAGTGGAAAGTAAGGGAAGATTGCGATTTGACTACCGCAGAACATCACCACCGTCAGTTTTCCGCCATTCGGCTGCGTTTGATATGTCTTGCTGTCCTTGGATTTTTCCAAAGCGGTTTTCTTCGCGATTTCGGCTCCATAAAAATGCGGAATACTCACTACATTATCTACTCGCCCAGTACTTTTAGAATAATAAACAAGGTTTAATGAGTCATTCAGGCAATGTTAGATGGAATTAAACAGACACTGATCTAGTATGCGCAATTTTTATTTGATTGGGTTCTTTTTCAGATACGATCACCCGGATATAATCGCTGGTCAAGGAACGATAGGTTTGGAGGTTGTCGATGAGGTTCCAAACATCGATGCCATTGTTGTACCTGTTGGTGGAGCCGGACTTATCGCCGGGGTAGCACTGGCTGTTAAAACACTCAACCCTCACATCAAAGTCATTGTTAGTATACTCAATGAAATAAATTACTTCATAGTCGGTGCCAGTATTCTAGATTACCGTCCACGGAAAGAGCAACTTTAGCGCTGAGCCCTAACTTTCTAGATCGAATGGAGCCAACTAAAGGCAGTAGTGCTTGAGCCCTGCAACTTTAGGGCCCAGCAGGACTCAGCACTGCTGCCTATGGTTGGCTCCGTTTGATAAAAGAAATTTAGTGCTTAGCGCTAAGTTGTTTTTTTCGTGTGAGCACTAGACGAGGTAAGAATTTGAGTATATTCTAAGAAAGTTCCCTCTTCAAGATTGTAAGCAGAACTCCATACGCTCGACAAAAATAACTGAAACTAACTTCATACTGAGATAATAACGTGGTCATTTGGTTATGAAAAATTTGAGTTTCCCGCTCACACGGAAAATAAGAGTCTCTTGAATCAAATCGTGCACTATCCTCAGAAGCAGTGATCAGGATAAGTTGCGATTTGATCGGAGAGTGTATCGCGATTTTATCAGCGTCGATTTATTGCAATATACATACATACATACATACATATCAAGCCGCTACCTCAGCGCACTAGAGCGCTCTGCGACTCCAAATCGCCATCGGAATCGATCCTCCCACAAATCATCGGGCAAATTACACCGTCTGATCACCGTCGTATTGCAATATCATCGAATAAAAAATTGCGATTCCATCGCATACATTTGCAATAAATTCGCGATTTTATCGACGGAGATTTTTTGCGATATTTTCGAACAAAAAATCATGTGATAAAATGATGTAAAATTTTGATTTTATCAAAAGCGATTTCATAGAAATAAAATTGCGACAAGATAATCGCTCGGATTTTGATGATCCTATACCTAGCGATTTTATCGCCAAAAAGTCATGAAAAACTTGGAACTTAATTTCAAAATATCGCGATTTTTTCGTTGAAAAATGCTACTGAAGTACAACGGCTTTCGCCGGCTTCTCAATCGAGCAAAGTTCCTTGATCAGTCTTGAACAACGAACAACTGCTGAGCCGAAGCGTCAAGATTGACGTTGTCATACTTTCATTCCGCAGAACTGGTAACGGTAACATTTAGTGTGTGATTCAACTCAAGTAAATTATTGTTTATTTTGAGGTAGGAAATTTGAATCGGAGAATCAAAAAATATAAGTGTCCTTGTTAGCAGCTACTTACTACCGGTGATTTTCCTCGTACAAATCGTGTTTTACGTGAGATTTTGCTGAGGAAACAAACATAATGATGATGCTCAAATTTGCATCTTGTCCAGTGGCCCGTTTATTAATGGACAGTATTGCATTTATGTGGTTTTAGTAAAGCTGATTAACGTTACACAATAAAGTCCTCATCTTTGAGCGATAATTATTCGAACATGGCTGCGTGAGGTCGAATTCACATTATGATGAAGACAATTGTTTGCTCAAAGAATGAAGACTGGTAGGATTATATTGAGTTCTGTTGCCAACAAATCTACGTCTTTTCGAAAGAATAATGTGCAATGCCTCGAATGAAGTTGAATGCACTGAAATAGTTATTTTGTTGTTCTTTGTGTAGGGTGTTGAATCAGAACGGTGTGCGAGTTTCTCAAAAGCAGTGGAGAATGGTGGTCCAGTGATGTTAGATATCGAATCAACTCTTGCAGACGGTCTGGCCGTCCCAATGGTGGGTTACAACGCATTTGCCACAGCCGCGCCCCTCGTAGATCGAACAGTGAGTATTCAAACGTTTCTCTTAATGATTCATAAAAAAAAGTGTCAACGATCGCAAACAGCCAGATGTTACGCAGTTAATTTGAATGTCCCTTAAAATGGAAAATCAAATTGGCGAGTGCAGCACAAAAACTCTTCCGGATTAAAAGTTAAAATCCAATGCCTGTGTCACACTATCAAAACTAGCCATCAAAATATCAAGGTCAGGTGTTATGATCGGCTTTTTCGATGACTTGGACCAATCACAGCAATTGACCTTGACATTTTGATGAAGTATTTTGATATTGTGACACAGCCCAAGTAGCATTTTGCAACGAAAAAATTGCAATTTAAATGAAATAAAATTTCCAGACGATTTCAACTTTCTTGCAAGAAAATTGCAATTATTTTACAACATCTGACCCCCTCATTGTAAAAAAGTTGCAATTTTTTTTTTGCAAAGAAATTTCAATATTGACGACCTTTAAATTTCAACCCCTAAATTTTCCGGGGAAATTATAATAATTCGAACCCATGCTTACCTAATGTCCTACGACGTTTAGCAGCATAAAATACCGGATGCCCTTGAGTGGGCCTGAACCCGACCCGCGAATGTCATAGCGGAGCACTCTTCCACTGAGCTACAGGGAGCTGATGATTCGTTGGGTTGAAATCACGCCTGTTAAGGCTGTTATCGCATGCATTGCGTCAGTACGTGGCTCAACATTCATCATAGATTTGATTAACGCCGTTTTTCTCAGGCTTCTTTCTTTTGCCTATTATTTATTTTTTTTTCGTGTTATTTATTTTTTTCATATTTTTTTTGTCTGATTTTTTTTTCGATATCACGTAATAGGTACTCACACTAAATTTACACCGGTGTAAATTACACCACATACTAACTTGAGAACTTAAAAATATTTTCAAAACTTTCTTAAGGAATATTTTTAACATGCATGTTTACAGGCAATATTTTTGAATTATTTTAAAAATTTTTTTGTAAACATTTTCAAAATATTCCTTTAAAATGTTTTAAAAATATTTTGAAAATATTTTAATTACAATATTGCCATGAAAATATTTTGATAAAGGTGACAATATTTTCAAAATATGTTGGGCTATATGGGTTAGGTGAGACATTTAAGTCGAAAAAACTTTAAAACCACTAGAGAATTGGATGCCAGGCACATGGCGTGAATTGGTTACAACATGATTGCACCGAAATTGCTGTCTTTTTAGTGCCTTGAAAAAGAAGGTTAGGCAACAAGCATAATCTACATTTCTTGCAAACTTATTGCAATAAAATTGCAACTTTTTAAGCGCCTTCAAATGAACGTATAGGCAACAAGCAAAAATTGCAATCAACTCACAATCCATTGCAATGAAATTGCAATCCATGCTACTTGGGAGGCGCAAGTGCCGGTTACGTATCTCGTATCTTCGTCGATGACGGCGCTGAGATACAACTATTCGTGCTTGATGGACGTCCGTGTTGCGTCTTCGAAATTGAAGGCGCGATGCGTGAACTCGCAATGCTCCGCTCAATGCTGCAAATTAACGAATTGAAAAATTATTTAAATATTTCCGTTGGCACTGTGCAACTTGGGCATTATTATACTGTAGGTTTCTGGAAATGTCAAAATGCCCATCGTGTTCTGCATGTTTCAATAAGGAATTAGAACGTGCAGTGTTTTATTGATTGTCGACAATCAATTCCCAATCAAAGAATCCTTTCCAGTGGTTCATTCTATAGAATTTTTGGTCGAATGAAAAGAGTAAAAATAATGGTGAACATCGCCACCTTCATGAAGATGTCAAACTTACAAAGATCTTTTTTAATTACGAATTTTAGGTAGTGGTAAAAGAAGAATGGATAGCTATTGCAATCTTGCGGTTGGTCGAGTTGGAAAAATGCGTCGTAGAAGGAGCAGGAGCTGTTGGATTGGCAGCGATTTTAGCCGGACAGTTAGAAGAACTAAGAGGAAAGCGGTAAGATAATTTAACACGTGACCAGCATCCGTATAGGGTGGCATCTTTTTTCTTATGTTTAGAACGAAATATTTCAAAAATGTTCATGAGATGATAAAAAAAAATCAAGGGCTATCTTTGAAAAAAGAGAGGAGAAAAATTAGATCTCTTAAGGGGAGTAACACATTGAAAAAATCGAATATTTTATCATTTGCACCGACAGACTCCACCTGCAGCTAGTTTATAATAAAAATAGAGACCAAAATCAAATATGATATTCACAATTTTTTGTGGTATAAAACATACATTAGAATGATTAGTGGTTTCGAGAATAACAATATCCCACAAATTTTCCAAATCCTATCTTTTCATAAATTGAATTAGTGACAATGACCAACACGGAAAAATGAAAATTCTCACAGGACACAAAAAACTTCCCAGTAAGTATAGGTGAAAAAGGAGGTCTAAGAAAAAAGTTATTTGATGCCTAGACTGCCGTGCTAAGGAAGAACGCCGTATAAACATTCGAGAATTGTCAAATTTCCTCTGATAAAATGTTTATTTGTGAGGAAAATTATGAACATTTTTCCTTGAAATTTTTAGACACTTTAGATCTAATTACAGAAAAAATTATCCGAAAAATGGGCAAAAAAAAATTCAAAAATTTTCCTGAAAATTAGTAATTTGCCAGGGGAAATTTAACAATGCGAAAAGGTTCATACGGCGTGTTTCCTTAGCACGGCAGTTTACTGGCCCAAGCTGCTAAATTGCGTCATCTTCAATGACTATTATGATTCGCCATCTTCGATCAAATTTCGACATGTTTAAGTTTCCAAAATGATGGTTTTCCATTCTCACAGATTCAACTGATCTTTTGGCACTGAATCTTACTTTTTTAGGGATCTAATTTACTCACAATTTTTATATTTTTTTTATTTTACCGACAATTTTGGGTCCTGTTCTATAGTTACTGCCTACCTAAATCATTTTGGCCACTAACATATAATATTTCCTTAGGCGTTTTGTGAAATACGCAGCACGCAGTTTCATCGAAACCTCACACTTTACCTTGTAAACGTAAGCGTTGCTGAAATTTTCTTGGGTGGCAAGGCCCCGAAAACTCTTCACAGGAATCAGTGGTTAGGCGTGAATGATCGATCATCAATATTTCCCCATTTGAAGCTATGGTAAAGAATCGATTATTGAGATGTTCGTTGAGAACACCCTGTTTATCGATCCTTTTCCATAGGTTTAAATGGCAGATCAATCGATACATCACAAAGCACGTCACGCCACTGACAGGAATCTAATGGTCTCCAGGTTACATTAGAGTCCCTTTATACTGAGAGTCAAGACAATTTGAATCCATTTCTGATTGGTTCCCGTATTTTAGGCCTCCGCAGTGTCACAAACGGGAATAAAGATTACATTTTCACCAATTGCAAAGATTATAATCTGGAATGGACCAGGGAATTACGGGTTCGGCAAGGAACAAACGGAATGAGAGGAGGAACGGAGAAAGGCATTTGAGAATGGGCCGATCAAAGATTACGAAAAACGTTCAATTTCTGTAATCTTTATTCCCGTTTGTGACATCCATGAGCCGAATTGTCTTGACTCTCAGTATAAAGGGACTCTAGGTTACATACAACAACAATTCAACGGAGAGGCGCCAGTTTTCTAGGGGGCCCGCCCCCTCCCAAAGACCTCTTTACCTACGCCCATGCTTGACAAATTGCACTTTTAATAAAATTAACCTCTAATTTCAGAGTCGTTTTATTACTGTGCGGAGGTAACATCGACACCACAATCCTAGGTAGATGCCTTGAGAGAGGATTGGCCGTAGATGGTAGGCTAATGAAGTTTTCCGTGAATATTAGCGATAGGCCGGGAGGCATTGCTGAGCTGACAAGGTTGTTAGCCCAACTGGAAGTTTCTATTAAAGACATAATCCACGAACGCGCCTGGGTCACTTCAAACGTATTCGGAGTTAAGGTACGGTCTCACTGTATCGTGTTACCTGAATTTTTATCACTTAATGTTCTTTGACGGGAAACTAACCATACTTTCAATAGCACTGATTATCAAGGGGAGATATTGAGGGAAAAAAACTTTTGAAAATAACCTTAAAAATGCAAACAAAAAATGTCCATTTTGGGTTTTTTTTACGTAAAAAAAAATACCGATTTCCACTTAATAACGAGTTTTTGTCACTCTATTTCAATGGATTCTAACAATTCTACACAGATATTTCATTTAGTATGATATATATTCTGCAGTTTAATTTCTCACACATAATTTCGAACATTTTTCACATGTTCAGAACCCGATCCACAGCCATCATTTTCAGTTACATAAATATAAAGTTAGTTAGTTAGCTAGTTAGTTATTAGTGTTTAGAGACATTTAGCTACTGAAGGTATCAATAGATTTAAAGAATTGAAGAAAGGGCGAGTGCAAATACAAAAAATGTAGCTTTCTGACTTGCTCCTCTCAAGTAAGAATATATTCATATATTTCTTTGAGCAAAATGTGGAACCAGGTATCTCCGTAGGTAGCTCCGCTTTGCGACGTTGCAGACATCCTGTCATTCTTCATTGTTTCTCTAGAAAACAAGTCAGCGGTATGTCTCGAAGTCTGTGTTAGTTTTTCTTCTCTGTTAACAGAGTATTCTACATGAATTTTAAGCTATTAAAGGCCTATTAAAGCTAAAAATTGGCAGTAGAATCTGTGTTCCAAAATACCATAGACCTAAAGCCGGCTGTAAGATTTCCAATAGCTTCTGTAGCCGGCTGTAAAATTTATTTTAGCCTTTAATAGCCGATGGCGAGTAAGGAACAGCCAGACGATAAATTTTATGCTAAACGTTACGAAATACGGATACTAGGACTTAGTTAGTTTTTGGACTATCGCTCTCTTTTTGTGCCGTAGTTTATACCTTGATTTATTTTGCGAGGAAAGCTCCGTACTTTTGAAGGATGCCTGTCATTCTTAATATGTTGGAGCGCCTTTAATTTCTTATGATACTGTGCGATACATCTCGTGTAAAATAGTTGCTTCAAACGCCGTGGCACGCTGCGGCGCGGCGGGCGGGCAGAGAGCGCGAAACGCGCATTGGCGCCTTCAAACCTAACAGGGATACTTCACGCATTGCGCAATGCGTGAAGTATCCCTGTTAGGTTTGTAGGCGCCAGTGCGTCGCCGCTCCGCTTTGTGTTAGTACGGCGAGTACGGCGGAGTCAGCGTTTTTCAACTCATGATTTTGAAATGTTTGCACACTCTGTGTGGATTATTCTCATTTTAATTGATGAATAAAAAATGAGTTAAAGGAAAATATAATGTGTGTTTTGTTAATATTAATGTAGTTCCGTATCAAACTTAGTGATTTCCAAAACACACGAATTTCTACACAATTTCTTATAGCCTTTTACAGCCAATGGCGATAAAGTGTAAAGCCCAGCGATAGGAACTATAGCCCGACTGCATACTTTTTTATAGCTTCGTATAGCCCGGCTATATGATTTGCTCCGCTTTCTACAACCGACTATTTAATTTTCAATAGCCTTCTTTAGTCGGCTTTAAGAACTCCTATGGTATTTTGAAACGCAGCTCCTATCGCCAATTTTTACCAGGGCTGTCTCTCTTTAAAAAAATAAATAGATGGATTAGATAAATAGATAAATAGCGTAGATTTTGGAACACCTCAATGGAGACATGATTTCACTTTTTAGCCATCGATTATTCATATTTTTCATTTTGTGTGTGTATTTTTTCTTTTGTGCGTGATACGCATATTTAATCGACATTCTAATAATGCAGTGTCCTTCCATGTCCTCGCCAGGTTACAGTCATGTGTGAAACGAGAGACGAAGACCACGCAGCTCACTTGAAAACCGTCCTGAAAGAAAACTACAAGCAAGTGACATTCGAAGAATTGCCAAAATTCCAGGCTCCATTATTATAAAACTGTGACTGCCTGATTTCACGTCATGATGTGTTTAAAAAAATGTTCGTTTTTTTTAAAAATTGCCACTCTTTGGGCCTTTCCCATGGGCAATTTTGTCTTTAATATGATCTCGAAGAATGCGCGCTGTAAGCCAGGTCACGAAGTCCACCTGCAATATGCTCATATTATGCATGTGTATAAGTATTATAATTTTCACTGCAGACCAGGCATATTTAATTTAAAACCAGAAATCAAAAACTTGAGTCAGAGTGCTCAAAACTTATAATCTTTTTGAGCTAGAAATTGCATCAATTAGTGCGTGCACCTCAAATGTATTTCTATGGCTCATTGTTCAGTAGAAGAAATATGTTTTACCTGAGCAATAACATCACCTATTATACTGAGTTGCTTGATGATCCACTACCTTCGGAGGCTGTAGATCATTGTTGGAACTGGATCGATTTCTGTGGTTTAACCAACCGATGAACGATAGTTCCTTCACTCAGCCAAGTCACCTTTCTTAAACTTATAAATTATGTTTTTTACCAAGAGACAACTTGGAACTAGAACAGACAGCGTCCCAGTCCGAGGACCTGTCATTGCATTTCTAACTATAAGGAATTGGGTGATGCACCTACTTTTACAATAAGTGGCGTCACTTTTTATTTGTTTATATATTTTCAATTCATCTATAGCATTTATCCATGTTCTTTGTGTTCATAGTTACCGCCTTTTACCTAAATGTCTCACTTAAATTCTCATCTTTTTAAAAAGTTCATTGTTTTATTCTTGTTATTATAAATTAAAAATAAAGAAATCGTGAGAGACGCTTTTGTCCAGACGGTCAAAAAGAGAGCTCTCCATGAATTACATCAAGTGTTTTTCTCGAGTTTTCCCTCGTCCTCTTTCACCTGGTCAAGTTGGTACTTGACTCTCGGAAAATTGAGTCAAGCTGAACGGGCCGGGGCCTGATTATCCGAAGTGCTGTAGCAGGCAGCACCCGTGGCCCCTAAGACCCGACAGGCCCCCTGGGTAATTTCTTTTATTATTACTACTACTTTTAATTATTTATTTTAGCGAGAAATCCGACCAAATCCTTTAGGGCCATTGGAGTCTAAAAGATATATTTAGAGGGACCCTTATACTTGAATTATCTTGGGTGTCATGGGGCCATTAAATGTTGGTATTAAGGGCCTCTGATTGAGGTTGAGGACCTGAGAGCCTGATATTGAAATTGCGGTGAGTTCATGAAATCAGCGTCTTGCGGACCCTACATGTTATGGACTCCTCGGCTCTGAACTTAGTAGTGTGGTGCTCACATCCTACCTACTTTTGTGAGCATCTATTCGTGTCTAAGAGATGTCTGTGTAGTAGAAACAAACAAGTAAAAGGCGCTCTTTCTTTTCGGATCCTCGCAATAATGCCGCGCCGCGCCGCCGCGACATGCGCACTGGCGCCTACAAACCTAACAGGGATACTTCACGCATTGCGCAATGCGTGAAGTATCCTGTTAGGTTTGTAGGCGCCAATGCGTGTGCCGCGCTGAACGCCCTTGCAAGCCGTCGCCGCGCCGAAGCGGCGAGTTAAAACTCCTTCTTTTCCGTGCATAAGCAACACAGACATCCGTGAAGCCCGAATAGTTGCATCAAAGCGTTATAATGAAATTCGTATAGTATTCGTCGCATGCGATAGTGACTGAGATCATCCTCTTTTGTTTCTCGCGCACCTGCACTTGATTTCAGCGTTGCCTATTAGTCGCCGGATACCAAAAAAGGCGACAGAATCATTCCATGGATACTTCAGGCGAAATTTTTCGAGCGCGCATCCCAATATACTAGAATTGCGAAAAAATTGAAAAAAGTTCCTCATATTTAGAAGGGGAACTACACTGCCGTGCAAAAGAAAAACGCAGTATGAACCTTCAGGCGTTACCAAATCTCCTTCGATAAGATACAAATTTATTGGGAAAGCTGTTGAAAATTTTCCTTCCAACTTTCCGGGCAATTTTATTAATTTTATTCGATATTAAATAAAAAAAATATCTGAGATTTTTAAGAAAAAATATGCATTACTTTCTTACAAAATAATTTTTTATCAGGGGAAATTTGGCAACATTCGAATGTTCATACGGTGCTTTTCCTTAGCATAGCAGTATAGACGATTGATGCATCGGTGCGACAATTATGCGTAACAGTGCAGCGTTTTAAGTACATGTGTGACGTTGAAGGCGCTATATACGCTGATCCTAAACGGGGATCGTAGGATTTCCTCAGCTTTTTTTTTTAAATTTCGGATATGTCTAGTGTTACGACATAAAAATTTTAGCGACACTTGCGATGGCAAAATGGGCGGAATTAGGAACAGTTCGTGGGAGAAGGAACAGCAAGGCCATTCATGAAGTGGGAGAGGAGGGGGGGGGTACAAAAAACACTCTTCTTAAAGGGGGATTTGCCTGCATCTGCAAAACTCCCTCAGCTGCAAGAAAGGGCTCTGGAAATTTTCTTATTTTTATAGGGGGACCAGGAAAAGCTTCCGTTCGAATCTTTTGAAAAGGAGCAATTTGGAGCTGTTTTCACATAGAAATTGATCGAATTGAAATTGAAATGAAGAAAAAACATCACACCCTTGTTTACTAAAATCCTTAACATCCTCTTGTGAGGGGCTAATATTGTAAGTAGATTTCTAGAGGGCGCCCCCCCCCACCCGGTCCGTCTTAGTTCCGCCCATATCAATGGTGTGGCGTGCTTTGCTATATATCGATTGATATGCCATTTAAATCTACGGAAAAGGATCGATTATCAAGGTGTTCGCAGCCTGATGACCTTGATGATCGATTCTTTACTACACATTCAAATGGAGGGACATCGATAATCGATCATTCACGCCACGCCACTGGCCGTATAATTATGACTAATTATATGTATGATTATATCCTTATAGACCCTCAGGACGAACTACAATCCACATTACTGTTGTTAGGCTGTGATCGAAATTTGCTGGGGGGAAAAACAAAACAAAAACAAAAGAATAAAGGGCCACAGTAAGGAAATTCACAATATATTACATAATGTTGCACAATGTTATGAGACAAGAACTTTATTGAACTTTTTAAACATTGTCTAAAACTCAGAGAAACAAAAAGTCGCATTTATTTTTAATTAAAAACATTCAATTGTAGAGATGGCTGTATGCTGAGCATTTCTGCGAAAAAAGTTTTGCTAACTTTTTCCTGATACATAAGAATAAAATGATAAAATTTAGTTCAAAGAATATCCAGAACAATGTATTCTTAATATTCATTGAAAATTACGAACATATGGGTGATTTCACGATAATAGGAATAGTCGTGTCGCCGTGGGTTATGAACGACATAGGGCAAAACGATTGAAAACCAAATTAATTAATCAATAGGAATGATGTCCCTGAACCTATCCATGCTAAAAAATATGATGAATTATTATTATATTTAATAATATGAGACTTTAAAGGCCGAAAATGTCCGGTCGGTTACGCGTCGCCAACCCCGATTTTGAAGCAAAAGAGCAATTTGCGGTAACATATCAGTACTGATCATGAACTCTTTGGCAATATTTGCTGAAAAGAGACTCTAGTGTTCAAGAAAATTGCCAGTTTGAACTGAAATGTTTATTATTGAGCGAGAAAAGTCATAAGAAAGAGGTGTCGCCACATTTGGCAACACATTTTTGCAGTTGTATTAAGTGCAGTGTTTATCTCGCCAGATGGAGTCAGGAGTTTCAAAACTGCCATCAAATTGTTCGCTGAAGTCTTCTTGACAAAACCATTACTGATAAGTCAGTTTTTTTTACAATGAAAACTTAAATTATTATGAAAACCAGTGATTTTTACGTGTGTAGCACTAATTCCTCACTACGCAAAAACCTCAATTTAATAGTATTAAACTAAAACGAAGTCTCCAAAGTTTAGAAAACTTTTAAGGCAGCATTAATTCCACCTCATAACTCAAGAATTGCCAAGTTTCATCTTTTGTATCATCTTTAATCTCACATTTTTGAGTGTCGGTTACGCTGTGTCTGTTACGTAACCGACACAATTTGGCAGGGCCGCCATGTTTGCGTGGACCGCCAGCAGTCCCGCGGAAAGCGCTGATACCTGATTCAATGGCTTGTTTATCAATCACTTTAACTTTGCACTGAATCAAAATAGAGCGTGCCAAAGCTGGAAAAAGGAAGTTTAATACCTTTAGAATGAGGTAATGAAATCCTGTTAAAATCGGTGCACTTTTATTTCTCAGGTATTTCACATTTTAACTATTCCTGTTATCGTGAAATCACCCTGAAGCCGAAAATTACCTTTGAAAATTTAATTTTTATCGCGATTTCAGTAATTCAAACGCGAAGAGTATAAGTTGCACAATCAGAGCACTGTTGGATTGCTCTGGGCTCCTTTTTGCAAAGTGCAGTCGTCCAATATGCTCTGGAGCGAAAATGGCGTTTGTGAACTGGATTGCATTTTGAAAAGAGGAACCAGGAGCATTGCAACGTTGCTAAGACTGTGCAACTTCATCCATTGCAATATAACCATCGAACTCCTTAAAAAATATGAAATTTACTTGGTAGGTAACGTTTGTCCTACCTAAAAGAGTTTCTAGCAAGTAAAGTGGAAACTGTTTAAAGATAATCAGGTGTTTTTTTTTCCTAGACAAAAAAGCTGCATAATCTCAGCAACATTGCAATGCTCCTGGTTCCTTTTTTGTAAAATGCAGTCCAACTTCAACCAAAGTCCGATAAAAAATGTAAGGGTTCACAAGAAAATCCCCAAGTATAGGTCCAGGATGATTCTGACCTTCATCATGAAGTCCCGACGGATGTTCAAAGACACTGCGGTTGGAGAGATCAAGGATCAATAGGCCAGCAAGTGGCCGTTTCATCCCTGTAGTGTCGATCCCACACGACCCCATAGATGTGATAGCATTTTTTCTCCGCCTTGGGTAGAGTAACATTGATTAAGGTTTTCTTCTTACCGATGAACACGTAAGCTTTCACTTTGACTGTCACGTTGACGCACGTGTCGGGAACGTAGACAGTTTTATACTGGTTGTTGAGGAAAACCTCTTCATCTCGCACTGCTTCGGGACAGTCAACTACGTACCTAGCCGCGAAACCCGAGTCATTCCAAAAGGAAATGGGAACTCTATCACATGAAGCCAGCACTACAACCATTAGAAATAAACAAATCAGCACGAGAGGAAAATGCATATTCGCCAGTGAGAATAGGAGACTTCGGAATGACTTTGAAGAGACTGATGTTAGCCTGGACTCTTGATCAGAGATCCTGGGCAATGGTGAATCGCTCCGAAGCGCCAGCTGTATAAACGTTTTTTTGAGCATGCTTTAAGCGCATAATGGAGGGAGCAAACGTCAACACGTCACTTTATGACGGAGAAGTCCCGAAAAAACAATAAAAAAGTAGCGACGCGACGCTCGGCGGATTTTGGTTTCGATCCGACAAAGTTGACCAATCATAAAGCTAGAGACACTCGCATCGCGCTGTTTCGAATACCCCAACTTAATCCTTCTCCTGAGATGAAAATTAGTGATTTATAATTATAAAAAATAAATAAAATAAAATTATTACTCTTAATGCGTAAGCGAAGCGAGGATAAACGTTTCGACGTATGAAAAATAACTTATGGATTCAACCATAACTAACCGAATTAATTATTTGTTTGCGCACTTGCGCAGTCCTATTTTCAATGCATGAATAATTACTGTTTTTCGGTGGCAATGGTCTGTAAATTGTTGACACTACCGAACCTAATCTAGGCTGTGGGTCGAAATTAGTACGGTTTGCGTCATAAGCTGACCTCACCCCTAGAACTGTACGTGGCGAC